GCATGGGAGAGCAGCACTTTAAGTACAGTTTCTCCTGATGCAAGTCCTGAGGAGAAGCAAACCCAGCAAACTCCAGGGTTACTTTACCCATTCTTCAATGCAAAAATGACGCCTCTTTATGGCGCTATCAATAACCGCTCGCCTCTCCTGCTGCCGCAGTGGCCACATACATAATATTTAAACCACATTGGTGGATGACAGAGACAGACGGATATTTTTAATCCCAACAGACTATTACGGTTCATATCATGTCTGTCAAATAAATATTATGAATCATTTCCCGTTATCTTTATGGGGGCAAGTTGGCGACATCAGGGGATTGGGCAGAGAGTCTTTTCTCTGAATATTTATCCAGTTCGTATGTATATGTATGTGAACAGGAAATTTATGGAGCAATTTTCGATAATAAATGCCCCGATAAAACACATTATCTCCTCGCTTGATGGGCTACGTGTGGAGAGGGGCAGGGTGCAGGAGGCAGCGAGCGTATGCTGCCTGGACTCAGGTGAGGCAGGGATCCTGTCCAAGGCTGGGAGTTCCTGTGATGTGTTAGCATCTACTGTCCATGGTCATCATCTCATCTTAAATCAAAATGTCCTCCGTGATTCATTGATCATGTCTTCTTATCTTACAGAGGAAGAGAACGAAGTTCGAAGAGGGCCCGTGTCTGAGGGCTACAGTAGAGTTGACCTCCTCCTGGTACCTCCCAGGCATCCCATTCTCTAGGTCCATCAGCGTCCTTTGTCTCTGGTCTCCAGTCTTACCTGCTATCTCCTGCCTTGTCTGTCTGATCCACACCCTCTGGGAAGGCAGGTGTTGTGGCTCACTGGCTGTAGGTATGTGAGACCAGCAGTCTTCTGGGTTATTTATTTATTTATTTTTGGAAATCTAGCTACTGGCTGGTGTCCATGGTGCTGGGTCCACTGTGGGACCCAGAGTGAGTCTCTGCTAAATCAGCCTCAATGTCCCTACCTACAGAATAGGGAGCAGGGCCTTCCCTTGCTGGGAAGGCAATGGAGGAGATGGTGTTTGAAGTGTGCTACAGACTTGGCACCTGAGAAACAGAAGCACTCTCCTCTCAGGGCTCTCATCTACCCTTGTCTCTCCACTTCCCCCCAAGCACCCCTGCAAAGGTTTAACTTGGCCTTTGGCTTGGAGTCTCTGAAACTCACAGGTTCTTGCTCACAGCTACCCCCTAATCCTGTTCCCTCTCCACAGAGGTCCTGATCATAAGCATTCTTTGTCTGCCTCCCTGTGCTTCTCTGCTGCTGGCGATAGGCATAAGGAGCCCCCTGGGACTGAGGACATTTTCTTTCTCAAGGTTCTAATCCAGAGGCACCACCATCCTTTGTGGCCAACAATCAGGACACACAGGAGTCCAAGTGGGGCCAAACAGCTTTTCCCCTTACCTTCTAGAAGGGCAGGCATGAAGAGGGGTTTGAGTCTGGACCCTTGTGCTGGTCACAGCTGCATATGACCTTGTCTCTCTGAGCTTCACCTACCATCATCCAGCTTGGTTCATGGTCACCCCAAACTGAACCATAGGGAAGGTGACCAAGGGACTGTGTAGGCTAGGGTCAGAAGCGGGCCTGGCAGAATGCTAAGCTTCTAGTCTACCTTGTTGAGGGTTAGGCACCTCAGCCCTCTGCTATCTACCACTAGTTCAGGATTTGAACTTCCTGATCAAGAATATTCCACTGGGAATGGAATGGGGATAGCCCAGTCCCCCTTGAGTCCCAGGAACTACTGGGCCCCAGATGTCTGTCTAATGTAGCCTCAGGGTGCCCAGCAACACTGGCTTTTAAAAACTCCATTCACCAGGCAATCCCTATATTGTTAACAAGGCTGAGCTGAAGCAGTGTGAGAAAGGGCCAAGGTATCTTAAAAAGCATCCTTCACGGAGTTAAAAAACAAAAACAAAAACCTCCAACAAACAAAACAAATGGCTCTCAGACTGTAGGCATAAGTGGAAGGATATTACCATAGCAGCTTTTGGCTACTGAAGCACGTGGTACATAGGCCAGGGTGGTTTTTCCCATGGTCAGATTGGTCCTGACTACTCTGGGACAGCCACTGTCTCTAGCAGGTTCTTGTGGGTTCACCCCTACAAAGAGGGGAAGGCAGTTGAGGGGAAGGCAGAACATAGTGGCTGCAGAAATAAGCATCCTGCTCATGTTTTTCCTCCCAGAGCTGGAGGGTTTGAGGTAGGGCCTCCCTCAGTACCCTACCTGTCCATTGTCCTGGGTACCTGCCTGTGTCCCTGTCCCGTATTAGAGAGTCAAGGCTCAGAGCTGCTCAGCCTCTGTGTCTCTGAGACTAGATGTGAGACTGGACTAGATTAGTAGGGTCTGGACCCCATGTTCCCCACTGTCCACTACCTTGGAGTGGCTAGGCTTCTTAGAAGTAGGCACTACCTCTGGAACCTTCCACTGTTCCTGTCCCCAATTAAAGTCCCCACATGGAAACTTGCCTGCTTAGGCCTCTGTCTGCCATCACTTTCAGCTTTCCACAGCAAATGGTAAGGCTGGGGGAGAGTGGGGATGGGGAGGGTGCTTAACACTAGTGAGTCAGTTTGTCCATCACCAGGAGGTGACCTAAGATTCCATCGCCAGGCTTAGGGACATTCGGGCTGAGCTTTCCCACAGCTGACCTGAGTGTTGTGGTCTGACAGCCAGGCCGGCTTTCAGCTTCTTTCTACCTCTAGGCCACTGCTATGCCAGCCCTTCCACCTGGGTGTGTCATCCTGACTCAACCGGACAAACATGTCCCTTCTTCACAGCACAGCTCAAGGACCTGCCATCAGGAAGTCACCAGAGCCCCTGGCTGGCTGGGCCTCATTCTCCTGTCCCTGTTGGTGGTGCTTTGGTTCTGCCCGCACTGCTCTATCCTGAACTATGGCTTCCGTAGTCATGGTGTGACCACTCTTGCCTGTGAGTTTTCCTTATCTTGTGACAAAATAACTGCCACTTACCTGCCAAGCCCTCCTCCTGGCCTATTAGCCTCTATATTGTCTGGTTAGTCATTCCAATGACCCAGTAAGGAGGGTGGGATTGTCTGCACTTTACAGATCAGGAAACTGAGGACCCGAGCAGAGTGGCTTGGCTAGACCACCTGATAGCTGGGAGGCAGAGCTGGGGTCTGCCCTTGCCCTGCCCGTCTTGAGCTCACCTTCCCTGAGAACCCAGGGTCATGTTTTCAGTACAGACTCTGCTGATGTTTGTTGATGGAATGAATGATCCAAAATATTGGAGAATAGGGATCATTGAAGTTTTCTATCTACTCCCCTGCCACTCCTGGCCCCTAACCATTCTTATCCTCTCTGTTCTGAGACTCAGTGTTGGCAGGCTGTCTGCAGCCCACAGATTCCACTGGCCACCAAGTGTGGCCCTGGGAGAGTGGTCCAGGGGTGCTAAGAACAGCTCTCTGGCCTTGCTGTGGATACAGAGCTAGTTCTATCCCTCACGGCCTGGCAGCAGATTCTCAAGGCCCTGTCAAGGAAGGAGTCTGGGGGCTTTCCCCCTGGTCAAGGTGTACCACCAGAAGCCACACTAAGGGAACCGTACAGGTGATGGGACAGGCCTGGGGAGGGGGCTTAGTGTGTCCAGGACATTTAGTGCCCTAATTTTGCTCTTTCTTCTCTCCTGCCCTGGAAGGACAGGTTCCCCAGACCCCGCAGGAGCACCAGGGCTGGCCTTCCTGTGGGACAGGTCTGTAGACCTTCTGGGATGCTGCGAAGAAAAAGTACAGCTCTGGAGGGTGGCAGTAGTGCACCCAGGCAGGACTTTACTTTTTGTCTCTAGGGGAGGTGCTTTCTTTGGGCAGCACCCACTATGTGCAGCCTCTGGACTTTAGTAAGCCCCTCTGCCAGGGCCTCCACGCTGGATATTGGTCTGGCAGGCACCAGCTGGGAGTGGAGGGAGGCGGGACTGCCGGTTGCCTGGCTTGGCTCAGGGACGCAGTGCGCTTAGGGAGGCTGGCTTGGCTCTGCTCAGGTAGCTCACACCCAAATCCGAATTCCAGCCGCCCAAGACGGCGGGCGGATTGCGGAGGAGGCCCAGGCTCTCTCTGGGTAGGAGTGCTTCCTTTCGTTTTAAAACAAACAAATCATGAATTTAAAAGTCAGGGCAGAGAGCTGCCCAAGGTGTAAAAATAGCCTAGGGCCACTGGGCGATGTCCGAAGCGGGCAGCAGTGCCTCTTGAACCCCGCACCTCAGAGGAGGGCTGGGGCCATTGGAGTAACACCGGTACGCGGACACCCTCCCCCCCAAACCAGTCTGGCCTTCAGTCAGATACCTTGGTTCTCTTTGGGCCTCCCGCGTGTAAGTGGGAGGAGACTGGGGCGTCGAAAGGGTAGCATCCCCCTGCCCAGCTGCTTGTCTCTGACTCACTGCCCCTCCCCAGCCTCAGTTTCCCCTTGTGTCCGTTGGGGTGCACGGGGGCCTCAGCTCTCCTATACGGAGCCCTGCCAGACCACGGTCCCCGAGCGACCACGGCTGGCCTCTTTGTGTGTCCGCGCAGACAATGGCCCGGCCGCTGAGCTCTCCTCCCCGGCCCCGCTCTCCTCCTCCTCCACCACGGGCCGCGGGGATTTTGGGCAGCCGGGGAGGGAAGGCTGCTTCAGTCGGCCGCCCCGCCCTCCTCCCACGCCGCCGCCCCACGGCTCCCGGGAACCCCTAGCAGACGCAAACTTGCAAGTTTGCAGGACGCTCACAACTCGGGGCCGGGCGGCGAGTGGGGGGCGGCGGCGGCAGCGGCGGGCGGGGCGCGCACCGGCTGCGGGCGGGGCGAGTGGCGGCGGCGGCGCTGCGCCGAGTCCGCGCCCGTCGCGGGCCCCCCGCCGCTCCCCCCGCTGCAGGCCGGGCCGGAGCGGGTCGCGGGCGCGCGGCGGAGGCGCGGGCGGCGAGCGCGCGCGCAGGGCGCGCGCAGGCACAAGTAGTTTACATTGTTGGGCGACTTTTGCAACAACTCGCCGCGCCGCGGCCTCCGCGCGCCGCCGCCGCCGCTGCCGCCGCCGGCTCCCCGCCGCCCGGGCCCGGGCCGGCCGCGCCGGGGGCCGCTGCGCTGTCGCCCCGCTGCTTCGCTGCCGGCCGGGAATGAGTTAGTCGCAGACATGGACACCAAACATTTCCTGCCGCTCGGTGAGTGCCGGCCGCGGCGGCGCGGGCGAGGGAGGGGGCCGGGGCTGGCGGGGCGGGGGCGCGTGCGCAGCGTGCGTGGGGGGTCCGGCCGGGCCCGCTGGGCCCCGCGCTGTGGCGATACCGAGAGTTGGCGCGCCGGGCCCGGGGAGGCGAGTGGGCACAGGGCAACTTTTCCCGGGCCGGGGCGCGCGGCGGGAGAGGGCGAGGGCGCCGGGCCTCTGACTTGTCGGGGAGCGGGAGTGGGCGGCGGGGTTGGGGCGAGCGGCAGGTTCGCTCAGGACGTGGAGAGGGTCCCTCACGGTGCGCGTAGCGCGTCCGCAGAATCTCGGGGCGCCCAGCCTCAGCCGCCCAGAACCCGGCCACGCCGAAGGAGCAACTTCTGCGCTCGCTGGAGGGCTCCGGGCCTCTCTGGCACTGGGATGGGGGCGACGCGCTGGGCTCCGGGAGGCCACTGCTCCTCCGGGCTCGTCGGGCTGCTGTTTGGAGCAGGCCGCTGGCCCCTCGGTGTCTGTTGGTCCAGGACAGAGTCTGCGATCTTGCCGTTCCCGACAGCAGCCCAAACCTAGGTGGGCACGGTCTCCCAGGGGACCTCTGATGAGAAGCGTCAAACCCTAAACTGGCACCCCACACTCTGGCACCCCTAGTTGTTCTCCCTGGTATTTAGGGGGAGGACAGCAGAAGAGTCCGTTTTCTTGTCCTGCTGCCCTCATGCCAGCAGCTCCCAATCGCCACCGTCAGCCTGCCAACTCCGGGAGTGGAACCCAGCAGTGTCAGAGCCCCCCACCCATTGCTCTCGCAGGGGTTTTGGGAGTCAGAGGGAAGCAGTGTAGAGAGACTTTATAAATGAGCTCTGGGAAGGATATTAATTTGGTGGTGAGGACAGCAGCCAGGCTGTCAGGCTGGTGAAGAATTTGTGCTGAATGGAAATCAGGACAGCTGATTATGGACGAAGCTCCATGATGAGCAGTGCCTCTTGCTTGCCCATCCCCTATGAAGCTTGGGGTGCAGTTTGGCTACCCTGAGGGGTGATCAGAACCCAGCATGGCTTCCAGGATTTTTGATGATCTGAAGAGGTGGCACCCTCTTGACCCCAGCCTTCTTACAGATCACAGACAGGTCTGCTGAAGAGTGACTTGGATAGAGTGTTCCAAGTTTGTCAAAGCTTCAGATGCCTCGTCCTTATGAGTAGTGGTGAAGACCATGGGGGCTCATTTGAACTTAAGGGTCTGGCTCCCAGGCTTTAAACTACTGTCCATGTTGTAGTTGAGAAACTGGCTGGGAGAGGCCACACTTAGAGACTGTAAATGGCGGATTTGGCATTGGAGCCCCCTGCCAAAGTCCACTGACAAGAAAGCTATGTTACTGTGGCATGTTGCTGTGGGGCCTGATGTGGGTTTGGTGGGACCCCTGAGACACCTCTTTCTCCTCCACCCAAGCCTTTATGTGCACAGAGCTGGGTCCTCAGGATAGGAATGCTTTGCTCATTTTCTGGCCTGGGTCATGGCTAGGGCCTGACAATACTTTGCCTAGCTTGGGATGGGAACAAACACCCCAGGAGGGACAGAGCCCCTTCTAAAAGTTGATACATACAGAACTGGGGATTAGGTTGCAAGGTGGTTGGGCTGGAGTCTCCAAGAAGAGGGGTTGTGTCTTGGAGCTGTTGTCCCCCCACAAGGAGACCCAGAGTCTTGGGTTCACAGAGTGGTGGCTCTCAGGACCAGCCTGTGGCCTCCCAGGCAGCCAGTGCCCCAGGGCTGTGTGGTGAGTACTGGGCTCTGATTACATTTTATTTTTTACTAAGCTTGTGACCAGCTCTGAAGTCCAGTGCAGTTGAAGGTCCATTTAAGCAGCTACTTGCCTAAGCCCTTTTGTCAACACAGCCTAATCCCTCCTGGGGGCTGAGTGTCAGAGGATCTGGATCATCCAGGGCCCCCACTGACTGCTGGGGTCTGGCTTGAAGTGGCTGGGAAGGTTTGGCCATCCTTTTTTTCACCTCCCTGCCACTTTTGGGGTCTGGAGCTGTGGGCTCTTCCCAGCGCGCACTGTGTGGGGTTTGGTAGTTCAGATTGCCTCCGAGCCTCTCTCCACTGAGTCCATCCGTATGGGATAGATCTGAGAAGAAGAAAGGGAGGATGGGGAATTTGCCTCAGGCAGCCCCTATTTCCTGGCTTTGCTGCCCAGGGCTGGAGTTGGGGAGTGGGGTAAGGGCTCAGCTTGGCCTCAGCTTGCATGGTGGGACTGAAAGGCCAATCCTGCAGAGTCCAAAGGTCCCAAGAGTACACTGACCCTCTCAGCTGTTAGTGGCCCATTTGTAGGTGAGGGTAACAGGTTTCTAGAAGCAGGGCTCTAGACCTCCAGCCACCCTCTTGTGGGCTACTTAGGGACCTAGTGATCTTGGGGCCTGTGTGAGGGGGCTTTTTAGTAGCTTTGGAGCCCTTGTGACCCAAAATAGAGCACATTCCCGGCGTCCCGAAATAACAGGGTCACATGACTCTCTGGAGGCTGGACTTGGAGTCCAGCTTGGGCCTGACAGGAGGTTCATGGTTAGGCCCCCAGCTGCCTACTGATTTGGGCATTTGTTTTGGGAAACTCTGGAGGGGACTCTGTTGTTGACTGAGGAAGTGTTAGGGTGAGAAAAAGTGACCCCGGATGGTGGTCTGACTGTGGTAGTGGCCTTGTCTGCCTGTTTTCTTCTTTGGGCTGGTACTGACTATTGTGCTGGGCACAAGCATTAGTCTCAGATGTGGGCTCAGAGAGCTAGGCCCACAGGCAGGACTGCCTGAGGGTAGGGAGCTCTCCACACAGCCCAGGTCTGCACTGCTCAGTCTGTGGGATGTGTGGGGTGTAGAGTTGAGTCCGCAGGTTGGTCACGTGGAGCTGCCGTGGGTTGGCTCCCAGGTCCAGGTTTGCCAGGGCCCTGGCGGCTCTTCCAGCTGTGCATGTCCTTTGTGGTTAGGGCTAGGTTGCACCTCTTCAGGAAGGCCCCTATGATTGCCTTGCTAGTGCCCTGTCCCACCCATGCCAAGACTATTCTGGAGGCTGAACAGAGGAGGTGCAGGGACTCCTGTGCCACCCTCATGCCTTCCCTAAGAAAGGAAGAGGTCCAGAGGGTTTGTCACTCTGTGGTCATTGTAGGGGTGCTCAGGCCTGCATCCCTCCACCCAAGAGCTAGCCATGCATGCCAAATGTGTAGACAGAACTGAGCTGCATAGAATGTGGTATGAGAGAGTCTTGAGCCCACCATTCAGTGAGGGTGCCTGGGGCTTCCTGCCTTTAGTGCTATGGGGTCTCACTATGTTGGAGCATGTTAGGACCAGGGTCTCCATGGTGAGTGAGGCTTGCCTCTGCAGTGAATTGGGCTGGTGGACCTGGTTCAGCTGTCTCAAGATGGCCTAGGGCCAGGACAAGCCAAGACCTGCCTTCCTTCCGTACTCCTTATGCCTAAAGCTTGTGGGCCAGGCAGGGCCTTGAGGTGTCAGATTGGCTATTGCATTTTCATGGGAACTGGCCATCAGCTGGGCCGGAGATGGGGGCAGGAGCCCTGGCTTTCCAGAGTGTAGGTGCTTGGATTGTGGCTGGGAGTGTGTCTGTTTGGGGGGATCACCTTCCAAACCTTTGTTCCAATGCTTTTTTTTAAAGGAAATTTAAAAATTACAGTGTGTGTGTTTGTGTGTGTGTGTGTGTGTGTGTGTGTGTGTGTGTAAGTGCAAGCACACATGCCACAGCATTTATGTTGAGGCCAGAGGACAGCTTTGGGGAGTTGCTTGTCTTCTTTAAGCACCATGTAGTTCTTAGGGCTCGAACTCAGTCCTTGGTAAGCAAGTACCTTACCCACTGAGTGACCTCACCAGCCCCCAGTTCTTTTATAATAGGCTGGTTTCAATGCAGGAGAACGGTTGGGGGAGATGGGCTGTCTACCTGCCCATGGGCCTGCAGCATGTTCTTGCCATAAAGTATATTTGTTTCTTCCCCATCCCTTTCCTTTCCATGTGGCTGTGCCCTCCCTCACAGCTACAGAGGGCCCTGAAGGACAGACACATCTGTACAATTGATGTCAGCCACCTGCATCTGTAAAATGGGCACATTTCTTGTTTTTCAGGGCTGTTGTGCACATAGCCTGTTTTGTCCTGGTTGGGAGTCCAGGGAGCTCTTTTTGTGGGGTGTGTCTCTTTCTTTCTCAAGCTGAGGCCTGAATTCAGGTCCTCTCTGGGCCTCTTCCTTGAGTCAGGCTAGGGTCAGATAGCCAGTGTTGAGCCCAAGCCTTCCTGAGACTCCCCCGTGCCATTGGGTATGGGAACAGAAGTGAAAAGTGGGCATCAAGGGAACACAGCTGCAACCCTGTGGCTGGGTGTCCCCGTCTAGGTTTCTGCTCCCTTGCTAGGCTCCCTTGACAGACCCCAGCTGCTGCATGACTCTCCCCAAGGCTCAGCAAGTCTGGTGGAGCGAAGAACTGCGCGTGAGCACACCCACCCGAGTCTGGTGCGAGATGTTCTGAGCAGTCGTGCCCCAGCGCCTCACAGACAGGGAAATTGCACCCTAGAGTTACAAAGCAATTGTCTAGCTCAGCAGCTGAATGAGCGTGAAACGGAGCAGAAAGCAGCTAAATAAAATTGGCCCAGGATGAGTGGAGAGCAGCCTGGGTGTGCACAGATACATACAGCCCCCCCCCCCCAAGCATACTTACCTGGTACTGCCTTCCAACCCACCATGAGGCAGCAGGCCAGTGCTGCAGGCCTCCAGGGCCTCCTAAACTTCATATGGATCTGTGGGCCTGGCTGCTCTTCACAGCCCCTGTTCTTTCAAATCTCTGCTGTCCTGTTCAGGACCTGCCCACCTGGAGAGGGTGCTGATATTTACCCATTGGGTGCCTGCTATGTACAGGTAATTAATTCAGGACCTTATGGGTAACCCAGGGGCAGCCTCACTTAGTGATGGGAAGCTCCATGGTAGGGTCTGTTTGCCTTGGTACTTCAATATCATGTCCCTGTGACGTTCTCTGC